AGTATTAGTACTTGTACTTCACTATAACGTGTAGTATTAGTACTTGTACTTCACTATAACGTGTAGTATTAGTACTTCCCTAACGTGTAGTATTAGTACTTGTACTTCACTAACGTGTAGTATTAGTACTTGTACTTCACTATAACGTGTAGTATTAGTACTTGTACTTCACTAACGTGTAGTATTAGTACTTGTACTTCACTAAGGTGTAGTATTAGTACTTGTACTTCACTAACGTGTAGTATTAGTACTTGTACTTCACTATAACGTGTAGTATTAATACTTGTACTTCACTAACGTGTAGTATTAGTACTTGTACTTCACTATAACGTTTAGTATTAGTACTTGTACTTCGCTAACGTGTAGTATTAGTACTTGTACTTCACTAACGTGTAGTATTAGTACTTGTACTTCACTAACGTGTAGTATTAGTACTTGTACTTCACTATAACGTGTAGTATTAGTACTTCCCTAACGTGTAGTATTAGTACTTGTACTTCACTATAACTTGTAGTATTAGTACTTGTACTTCACTATAACTTGTAGTATTAGTACTTGTACTTCACTAACGTGTAGTATTAGTACTTGTACTTCACTAACGTGTAGTATTAGTACTTGTACTTCACTAACGTGTAGTATTAGTACTTGTACTTCACTATAACTTGTAGTATTAGTACTTGTACTTCACTATAACGTGTAGTATTAGTACTTGTACTTCACTATAACGTGTAGTATTAGTCCTTGTACTTCACTATAACGTGTAGTATTAGTACTTGTACTTCACTAACGTGTAGTATTAGTACTTGTACTTCACTATAACGTGTATTATTAGTACTTGTACTTCACTATAACGTGTAGTATTAGTACTTGTACTTCACTAACGTGTAGTATTAGTACTTGTACTTCACTATAACGTGTAGTATTAGTACTTGTACTTCACTAACGTGTAGTATTAGTACTTGTACTTCACTATAACGTGTAGTATTAGTACTTGTACTTCACTATAACTTGTAGTATTAGTCCTTGTACTTCACGATAACGTGTAGTATTAGTACTTGTACTTCACTAACGTGTAGTATTAGTACTTGTACTTCACTAACGTGTAGTATTAGTACTTGTACTTCACTATAACGTGTAGTATTAGTACTTGTACTTCACTAAGGTGTAGTATTAGTACTTGTACTTCACTAACGTGTAGTATTAGTACTTGTACTTCACTATAACGTGTAGTATTAGTACTTGTACTTCACTATAACGTGTAGTATTAGTCCTTGTACTTCACTATAACGTGTAGTATTAGTACTTGTACTTCACTAACGTGTAGTATTAGTACTTGTACTTCACTATAACGTGTAGTATTATTACTTGTACTTCACTATAACGTGTAGTATTAGTACTTGTACTTCACTAAGGTGTAGTATTAGTACTTGTACTTCACTAATGTGTAGTATTAGTACTTGTACTTCACTATAACGTGTATTATTAGTACTTGTACTTCACTAACGTGTAGTATTAGTACTTGTACTTCACTAACGTGTAGTATTAGTACTTGTACTTCACTAACGTGTAGTATTAGTACTTGTACTTCACTATAACGTGTAGTATTAGTACTTGTACTTCACTAACGTGTAGTATTAGTACTTGTACTTCACTATAACGTTTAGTATTAGTACTTGTACTTCACTAACGTGTAGTATTAGTACTTGTACTTCACTAACGTGTAGTATTAGTACTTGTACTTCACTATAACGTGTAGTATTAGTACTTGTACTTCACTATAACGTGTAGTATTAGTACTTGTACTTCACTATAACGTGTAGTATTAGTACTTGTACTTCACTATAACGTGTAGTATTAGTACTTGTACTTCACTATAATGTGTAGTATTAGTACTTGTACTTCACTATAACGTGTAGTATTAGTACTTGTACTTCACTATAACGTGTAGTATTAGTACTTGTACTTCCCTAACGTGTAGTATTAGTACTTGTACTTCACTATAACTTGTAGTATTAGTACTTGTACTTCACTATAACGTGTAGTATTAGTACTTGTACTTCACTAACGTGTAGTATTAGTACTTGTACTTCACTATAACGTGTAGTATTAGTACTTGTACTTCACTATAACTTGTAGTATTAGTACTTGTACTTCACTATAACGTGTAGTATTAGTACTTGTACTTCACTATAACGTTTAGTATTAGTACTTGTACTTCACTAACGTGTAGTATTAGTACTTGTACTTCACTATAATGTGTAGTATTAGTACTTGTACTTCACTAACGTGTAGTATTAGTACTTGTACTTCACTAACGTGTAGTATTAGTACTTGTACTTCACTAACGTGTAGTATTAGTACTTGTACTTCACTATAACGTGTAGTATTAGTACTTGTACTTCACTAACGTGTAGTATTAATACTTGTACTTCACTATAACGTGTAGTATTAATACTTGTACTTCACTAACGTGTAGTATTAGTACTTGTACTTCACTATAACGTTTAGTATTAGTACTTGTACTTCACTAGCGTGTAGTATTAGTACTTGTACTTCACTAACGTGTAGTATTAGTACTTGTACTTCACTATAACGTGTAGTATTAGTACTTGTACTTCACTAACGTGTAGTATTAGTACTTGTACTTCACTATAACGTGTAGTATTAGTACTTCCCTAACGTGTAGTATTAGTACTTGTACTTCACTAACGTGTAGTATTAGTACTTGTACTTCACTATAACGTGTAGTATTAGTACTTGTACTTCACTAACGTGTAGTATTAGTACTTGTACTTCACTAAGGTGTAGTATTAGTACTTGTACTTCACTAACGTGTAGTATTAGTACTTGTACTTCACTATAACGTGTAGTATTAATACTTGTACTTCACTAACGTGTAGTATTAGTACTTGTACTTCACTATAACGTTTAGTATTAGTACTTGTACTTCGCTAACGTGTAGTATTAGTACTTGTACTTCACTAACGTGTAGTATTAGTACTTGTACTTCACTATAACGTGTAGTATTAGTACTTGTACTTCACTAACGTGTAGTATTAGTACTTGTACTTCACTAACGTGTAGTATTAGTACTTCCCTAACGTGTAGTATTAGTACTTGTACTTCACTATAACTTGTAGTATTAGTACTTGTACTTCACTATAACTTGTAGTATTAGTACTTGTACTTCATTATAACGTGTAGTATTAGTACTTGTACTTCACTAACGTGTAGTATTAGTACTTGTACTTCACTAACGTGTAGTATTAGTACTTGTACTTCACTATAACTTGTAGTATTAGTACTTGTACTTCACTATAACGTGTAGTATTAGTACTTGTACTTCACTATAACGTGTAGTATTAGTCCTTGTACTTCACTATAACGTGTAGTATTACGTTCACCTTCGTACTTTCACTTAACGTGTATTATTAGTACTTGTACTTCACTATAACGTGTATTATTAGTACTTGTACTTCACTAACGTGTAGTATTAGTACTTGTACTTCACTATAACGTGTAGTATTAGTACTTGTACTTCACTAACGTGTAGTATTAGTACTTGTACTTCACTAACGTGTAGTATTAGTACTTGTACTTCACTATAACGTGTAGTATTAGTACTTGTACTTCACTAACGTGTAGTATTAGTACTTGTACTTCACTAACGTTTAGTATTAGTACTTGTACTTCACTAACGTGTAGTATTAGTACTTGTACTTCACTAACGTGTAGTATTAGTACTTGTACTTCACTATAACGTGTAGTATTAGTACTTGTACTTCACTATAACGTGTAGTATTAGTACTTGTACTTCACTATAACGTGTAGTATTAGTACTTGTACTTCACTATAACGTGTAGTATTAGTACTTGTACTTCACTATAACGTGTAGTATTAGTACGTGTACTTCACTAACGTGTAGTATTAGTACTTGTACTTCACTAACGTGTAGTATTAGTACTTGTACTTCACTATAACGTGTAGTATTAGTACTTGTACTTCACTAACGTGTAGTATTAGTACTTGTACTTCACTATAACGTTTAGTATTAGTACTTGTACTTCACTAACGTGTAGTATTAGTACTTGTACTTCACTAACGTGTAGTATTAGTACTTGTACTTCACTATAACGTGTAGTATTAGTACTTGTACTTCACTATAACGTGTAGTATTAGTACTTGTACTTCACTAACGTGTAGTATTAGTACTTGTACTTCACTATAACATGTAGTATTAGTACTTGTACTTCACTATAACGTGTAGTATTAGTACTTGTACTTCACTAACGTGTAGTATTAGTACTTGTACTTCACTATAACGTGTAGTATTAGTACTTGTACTTCACTAACGTGTAGTATTAGTACTTGTACTTCACTATAACGTGTAGTATTAGTACTTGTACTTCACTATAATGTGTAGTATTAGTACTTGTACTTCACTAACGTGTAGTATTAGTACTTGTACTTCACTAACGTGTAGTATTAGTACTTGTACTTCACTATAATGTGTAGTATTAGTACTTGTACTTCACTAACGTGTAGTATTAGTACTTGTACTTCACTATAACGTGTAGTATTAGTACAGATTCTCCCCTCTGAGCAGCTGCAGTTTAAAAACGTTTTAAACTGGGCTTGGGTAATGATGCAGTGTGATGTAAATGGGGGGGGGGGGTCCTGTGTTATAACTGGGGGGGGGGGGGGGGTTCTGTGTTATAACACCAGGCTGGTGGGGTGGGGTTTGAGTGACAGGCACAGCCCCGGCCCTGATGGTCCCGCCCCCCCACCATGTTATCTCTGTATTAACTTATCGATCTTTAATGATGCTGATTCCTTTCTCTCAGATGGATCAGATCAGATGATGGAGGCGGAGGTGATGATGGAGGCGAGGGGGGGGTATAGATGTCTGTCCCATGATGCCCCTGAGTGATGGGAGGACCCTCTGAGGGCCGGCCCCCCAGCTATAAAGCCCCGCAGCTCCGTCAGGGCCCTCCTGAGCAGTTAGTTCCCCAGCCTCGGGTGGAGGTCGTCAGGGAAGCATCTGCACTGAGGGTCCGCTTTCACCGTTGGATTTTTCTGGAGAAACCTTTTGAGGATAAGAGTCGATACTGAACATCATCTGGGCTCGTCCCGCCACAGCGAGGCATACCCGACAGGTGAGGGTGTTATCAGGACTCTATCAGCTGTCTGTCTGTTCTGTGTAATGATGATGATGATGATGATGATGATGATGATGATGATGATAATGATGATAATAATAATAATGATAATAATGATAATAATAATAATATAGAGGAGTTGGACACCTGAAGGCCGCGTGCACCGAGCAGAGAGCAGCCAGGAATAGCAGCTGATAGGACGAGAGGCATGTCTTTTTAAGGGAATCAGAGCGCAGATATCAGCTCACAGCAGATATGTGCACATGGTGGCTGTCAATCACAGAGGGGGGGGGGGGGGGGGGGGGGTCCGGGGGGAGGTGTATTTTTACACACTGCCATATGTGTCTCTGGGCCTGGTCTCTGCAAATAGAGATGAACAGGGGCTCAGAAGGGCAGTAATACAGGAAAGTGTGTGAACATGACATGATTACAGTATAAACAGACAGGTGTTTATTTACTGCACTGTGTTCTGTTATTGTGTATTTATCTAGTGTATTGTTCTATATTTCCGGACGCAGCTTTAAAGATACACCTCTCTGTGTGTAAACTGAACTGTTTCCTTATTTATAAAAGAAGTTCTGCTAAAGGGAAAAGGGGGGGGGTCTAGAAACAGTTGCTGGTTGAAGAATGTCTGACATTTATTCCATTGAACTTGACACAAAGGGACCAATCAGAAGAGAGATCGCAGTCACATGTTTCTGATCAGAATGTATTCTCTCTCATTCACGATGTGTTTAAAGAGTTAAGGTCTATTGTGTTTAAAGCAACACACTCTCACTCCCTAAGCGTCCAGGAGCGACGTTTGGTCAGTGTCCGTGGCGTCCAGTTGTGACGCTCCTAGGCTCCTTCAGCTTCATGCAGGGACGCAAATAGCTTTCAACTGATTGCAATGTATTCCCATCTGCGGCGGGATTTGACGCTCATGGAAGCACGGCATTCGTTTGTGTCGGCTGCCCTTAAAGGCAATGTGAGCGTCCATTCCCATTGGATAACGGAGAATTGTACACCCGGAAGTAAGTATTCCCCTTACTGTCGATTGATTTTACAGTGATATCTGCACTACTCATCGACTAAAAAACACCAGATTATCCTTGTTAATTACACAACATTGATTGGTTTAAATTGTGTGCAATGCTTTTGTATTTTTCCCCTTCGATTCGGAGAAACAAATGTTTTTTCGGAGTAAAGGATGGCAGAAGACACTACACTACCCAGAATCCCCAGCTATCGTTTGGACTACACCATGTGCTCTGTTTGACGTCACGTGATCTTCAAATTTCTCCCTCCAGAAAAAAAAAACATGGCCGAACTTCGTTTTATTCTCGGTGGAAAATGCCTATTTTAAAGTTAGTTTGGCCATTAAAATGCGTTTTGATGTCATTTGATGCGAGAAATATGAGTTGTTATTTCAGATTATGTGTGCAGTGGGTGTACATGATCTTTAGTTTGCTAGTTATTACGAAGATTACTTCAGGAAATCGCGACGTTTTCATTGTTACCAAGGTGGTTGCTAGGGACGCTGCTATCGATATTATTTCTGTTATGTTGTGTAACTGTTTAATGGTGTTATCTTTATTGCTACCCCCTTCTCCGTCAATGTATAGTGTTGGTCCACAGCGCAAACATATTAGTTTAACAAATTCCTCATCTAAAGATACGTTATTTCCCCCTGTGCAATTCCAGTCTCACATCTCACAGCACATCGTCATTAACAAATACCGGAAACAGACCGAAAACATTTTATTCCGAGTGTGCTTGCTTTTCTCTTTGAAAGTCATCACATACCGGCATTGTAATACACGGTTCGGCTGCATTAAATATGACATATCTGCCGTAGTTCTGTATTTATAGAGCCCTGATGAGAAGACTTCTAGACAAACATGAGGAACTGAAAACGTGACGTGGATCATAAATATATCAGCCATTAAACAACATCTTACATTTATTTTCACACAATACGTCTCCTTGCAGTATCAACACTAATTCGGCTGACTTTTATATTTGATCCAATTGGTAGATAGGCTGTATTTACACCATAAAGGTGCATAGCTGATATAAAGGGACACCTAGTGGTTAAAGCATGTTATTGAATTTCATTATTTTTATTATTAGATATTAATAGGATCCCTATAAAGTATATTCATTACTCGTTATTCTCTACTAATAGTTCATTAAAGACTGTATATAATGACTATTTTGCACATCCCTTTCAAGATTTCAAGATTTTCTAAGGTTTATTGACATATCATATAGGCCTACACAACTACGGTGTAGTTATGCATTGAATGAAAAACTTGGGTCGCAGGTTCCTCAATAGTGCATTACAAGACATCTATCAATATTTGTGCATACCTCCAGCAATGTTAACTATGTTGAAGCACTTATTTTAACTGATATTATACATAATGTATTATACTCTTATAAGATGTATGTAGATATTTAATCTCCGGCCTTGTCAGGTATTGAACAATCAATAAATAAAGAACACAGAATTGTTGAATATAAAACACATAATTTGTGTGATTATACTAAATGATTTACAAATAAACACCACTGCATATTTACAACTGTTACACATGCTGATGTAACGCAAATGTTCCAACTTGGGATCAATAAAGTATATCTTATCTTAAGATGATCGATGGCTACTGCCATATTTGCAAAATGTGCCTCTGAACCTTGACAAGTGCATGTTTCAGGCTTATCAATTAACAACAGGGGTCACAAACATAAGACCAGCTGTTAAATAAAGCTCTTCTGACCTTAGCTGGTATGTGGGTATATATATTAATGCTGCCCATTATGGGCACAAGCAATTTTCACCCATTTATTAATTATATGTTTTAAATGTGAGTGTTTCCTATCCACTAAACCTCCAGGGATGTACACAGTTTAATACTGGCAACTTCTTATTATGGGAAATACGAAAACGTCTTTTAAAACTACAACTCCTAGCAGAGACGTGCCATAGATAGAGAACATGTTGCGAAACACAATAGCCAGCATGTGTAGTTCTGGGGACGGGGTGGGGGAGGGGGGGACGTAGTGGACCCGTTCAAATCCAGTTTTGGACAGTCTACCGTGGGTCCATCCCATTTCAAGTGCTGTTCGAGGCTCGGCGTAACCCTCGGAGCACACTCTCCAATCACAGAGCTTGAGGACTATCACAGGGTTTGTCAAGCGAAGCGGAGAGAATACTTACTTCCTGGTGTAATATTCTGTAAAGCAAATGAGCTGCTCCGACCCTCGGTCCTGACGGACTCCAACTTGTGTTTATTAATCAAACAAATAAATAAACACAAGGATAATTATGTGTTGTTGAGTAAATGGAGAATTGCACAGGGGAAAATAACGTATCTATGCCACCGTTTTAGATGCGGATTTTGTTAAACTAATATGTTTGCGCTGTGGATCAACACTATACATTGACGGGGAAGGGGGTAGCAATAAAGATAACACCATTAAACAGTTACACAACATAACAGAAATAATATCGATAGCAGCGTCCCTAGCAACCACCTTGGTAACAATGAAAACGTTCTATGGACGCAATTTCCTGAAGTAATCTTCGTAATAACTAGCAAACTAAAGATCATGTACATCCACCGAAGTTTGGCCATGTTTTTTTTTTCTGCAGGGAGAAATTTGAAGATCACGTGACATAGACGCCAGCCATTGGAATGAATGGTGAAAAAAAATGGGGTTTGTCAAACAGAGCACATGGTGTAGTCCAAACGATAGCTGGGGATTCTGGGTAATGTAGTGTCTTCTGCCATCCTTTACTCCGAAAAAATATGTGTTTCTCCGAATTGAAGGGGAACAATACAAAAGCATTGCACACAATTTAAACCAATCAATGTTGTGTAATTAACAAGGATAATCTGGTGTTTTTTAGTCAATGAGTAGTGCAGATATCACTGTAAAATAAATCGACAGTAAGGGGAATACTTACTTCCGGGTGTACAATTCTCCGTTATCCAATGGGAATGGACGCTCACATTGCCTTTAAGGGCAGCCGACACAAACGAATGCCGTGCTTCCATGAGCGTCAAATCCCGCCGCAGATGGGAATACATTGCAATCAGTTGAAAGCTATTTGCGTCCCTTTATGAAGCTGAAGGAGCCTAGGAGCGTCACAACTGCACGCCACGGACACTGACCAAACGTTGCTCCTGGACGCTTAGGGAGTGAGAGTGTGTTGGTTTAAAGAGTTAAGGTCTGTCGTGTTGAAAGAGTTAAGGTCTGTTGTGTTTAAAGAGTTAAGGTCTGTTGTGTTGAAAGAGTTAAGGTCTGTTGTGTTGAAAGAGTTAAGGTCTGTTGTGTTGAAAGAGTTAAGGTCTGTTGTGTTGAAAGAGTTAAGGTCTGTGGTGTTGAAAGAGTTAAGGTCTGTTGTGTTTAAAGAGTTCAGGTCTGTGGTGTTTAAAGAGTTAAGGTCTGTTGTGTTGAATTAGTTAAGGTCTGTTGTGTTGAAAGAGTTAAGGTCTGTTGTGTTGAAAGAGTTAAGGTCTGTTGTGTTGAAAGAGTTAAGGTCTGTGGTGTTGAAAGAGTTAAGGTCTGTTGTGTTGAAAGAGTTAAGGTCTGTTGTGTTGAAAGAGTTAAGGTCTGTGGTGTTGAAAGAGTTAAGGTCTGTTGTGTTGAAAGAGTTAAGGTCTGTGGTGTTGAAAGAGTTAAGGTCTGTGGTGTTGAAAGAGTTAAGGTCTGTTGTGTTGAAAGAGTTAAGGTCTGTTGTGTTTAAAGAGTTAAGGTCTGTGGTGTTGAAAGAGTTAAGGTCTGTTGTGTTGAAAGAGTTAAGGTCTGTTGTGTTGAAAGAGTTAAGGTCTGTTGTGTTGAAAGAGTTAGGGTCTGTTGTGTTGAAAGAGTTAAGGTCTGTGGTGTTGAAAGAGTTAAGGTCTGTGGTGTTGAAAGAGTTAAGGTCTGTTGTGTTGAAAGAGTTAAGGTCTGTTGTGTTGAAAGAGTTAAGGTCTGTGGTGTTGAAAGAGTTAAGGTCTGTTGTGCAG